GGGAAAGGGAGAATGCAGGATATAAAAATTAATTAGAAGTATAAATTTTTTTTCAGTTTGAAAAAATTTCCATGATTGTTTTTGTATTCCTTAAAAAAACTTTTTTGTATGGGAGGGGAAAAAGAGTGTGCACTTGTTTTTTCTGTCTAAATTCCTCTTCTGCTGATTTGGGCAGTTCTTCCTTTTATTTTCCATTTCAGAAACCCCAGCTGGGCTCATTGCTGAGAACCTTCTCAAAGCCAAAGAAATAGCCCTCAATGACTCTCGTGTGCCTGAACAGCTGAAGAATTACTTACAAAAAGCTCTTGATGTTGCTCTCGGACTAGACCCTTACCTGGATGCAATGGCAACTGCACAGAGGTATGGCTACTCCTTTGTAACCTTATGCTTTTTTCTTGTGGTTGTATGAATATGTTCTTGCATTTTCTGTTCTGAACATGCCACTAACACAGAGGACAGTGGAAGGAAGAATGAGTTAACTGCACCCAAATATATAGCAAAGTGTGTGTCTATGTGTCCTCGAGGAGAAGCGGTGAGAATAAAAAAAGTCCTAACTCTAAATTTTGAAAGGTACTCTGGCAGTTTACTATTGACTATGGCAATGTCTGTGTTGGGCCATACCCTGTGAAAAACAAGCCAGCCAGCCTTCACACAGTGCCCGTTGAAAGGCACTGAAAGGCTCAAAAAATGAACCCCTGCACCAAATGGGTGCTGGAATAAATAAAGAATGAAGAAAAAGTGAACCTCTGGATCCACCCTATAATAACAGCCTTTATATGCAGCTTTTATCTCCAAGTGCTCAACAAACATTAATTAATCTGCTAACTAAATTACTCTAGTAACTAAACTAATTAATTAAACTAATTTAAGGTATCATTAATTCAGAAGTCCAACTGATACCCTCATTATTCTTTTTTGAGCTATAGTGTATTACCCAGCCATGTGGGGTCTGCTAAACAATTCCCATTTATCAGTGTACATTTTGATATGTGGAAAAAGCCAGTTCTGTCTAAAATTGACAATGTGTAAACTGTTCCAGGCTATGGATTACAGGAACGCTGAGCGTTCGTTCTGTTGCTGAAATAATAGCTGATAGTTGTTTGACTTACGCTTGCTGTACGATAATAGCTATACATTATCTTATTAAAGTTGTTAAAGCATTTGTGAGGGGCAGAAAAGAGGTTATATGAAATGTTCTACTCTTTAAGTCTTGGATTATCTGAGTGTGGCTGACACGGGTTATGAATTCTTTCTCATTTTGCTAAGGAGTGTTGGTGGGAGCTGGAGGAAAAAAAAAGAAGCTGAAATGGCCCTAAATTCTGGCCCATAGAAGTATCACCAGCCATTTCTGGTGGTTACTTTCTTCAGATAGGGTAATTTAATCTGGCCAGAGGCTATGGACTTCCTCCAGTCGTGTGTTCTCTTCCCTTTGTAATAAGTAGCACCTCACTTCATATAAACTCAATGTCGCAGGCCTGGCTTCTCTGAAATAGCATCTGGAGATACCTTGCTTTTCTCAGCAGTTTGGGAGGAACACCTTTTTTTTTTTTTATTTATTTTACCCATCATGAAAAAAAAAAAAGTTAGATTTTACATCTTTTCCCCTGTTCTGCAAGGAAAACTTTTCATGGCTGAAAAAACCCACAACCCAGAGTTGAACAAAACCTGGCCACGGGGTGGCTGGAACCTTTTACTCCAAACCAGCAGGTAGTAGACACCTGTCTGTGACCAACTGGAAATGGGAACTATTTGGGGTTGAACACTGGAGAATGCTGTCCCTCGGCCCCAAAGCCCCTTCTTTCTAAGTTCCTATGGTGGGAGAGTCTGCCAGCACCAAGACAGGCCTATTGCCAAGCCAGGTGCTCTTAGGAATGTAGTTTGGAAATATTTGCAATGCTTCAGGGCTAATTTTTCAAGCTCATGCATAGATGGACTTTTTCCAAGAGCTCCCTCTAGTTTATGCACCATACTCAGATTTTGGTTGTCATTATAATGTCGAAAATGATTTCTTTTTTTCCAGAAAAGCTTCACCTGATCATGGCCCAGGGGAGGCTGGAGGAACTGAAACCAGAGTTTGGCTGCAGGAAGAATGCACCTCTGCCTCTTTGAATGGCAAGTTGGCCAGCCAGGAAGATAAAATTGCACCAGATTGGTGTAAAGGTTATCACTGTTGTTCATCATCCTCCACTCTGTCTTGAGTGGGAATAGGATGAACACCATGGAAATGCTCAGAAAATGTGGAAAATTACTTAAAAAGAGGGACAAAACCTTGCTGTAGTCTTCAATCTTCCTCTTGCGTGAATTTTCCTTGTCCCCTGCTTCCAGTGCCATTGTGCCCACACACATACGCTCGTGCACACACTCGTGCGTGCTTTAGTGCACAGTTCCAGCCCCATCCCTTAGTGAGAAGCAAAGAGGTCATTGTCTGAAGGGAAAAATCATCTTGGGCTTGTTTTGGTGGTATGTGGTAGAAGTTCACGTGCTTTTGTGGTGGAGGTGGCCAGTGGCCAAGCACTCTACCTTTTCATGTAGCAATACCCAGGCTTGTATCCCCATATAAAGCCTATTACACTAAATCTATTCCTAGATTCATTCTTCCCAGATGTTCCCATCTTTTGAGTAATATATCATCACAGTGAAGTACTCTTATAATGTATTACACTAATACATTGTTCGAAGGACACCACTGATGATAAATTTCTTAAATGATGGTGCTGTCTAGGGATAATGACTCTAAGAGCAAATGCAAGGTAATGTAGTGATCTCTTTTTTTTTTTTTTTTTAAACCGGGTTCCAGAAAGGATATGGAGGCATCTTAAAGCCATTTTCATATGGGGGGAATGTTAAAATATGCAATATTTCAAGCACTATTTAACAAGCACTTGAACAATAGCAGCATTGATGATAAAGGTTCTACATTAAAAACCAGTCCCTTTATTCTGTTGTCTTTTAGCTGCATTTTAGATGAAATTTTGTCAGATTCTGTTGTTAAAACCCTTATTTGAAAGTGTTTTAAGATTAGATTTTTTTTTTAATTATCACTTTAAAAGTACATCTAATTTTCATCGTGAATAGGGTACAGTCTTCCCTATGGTTTTATTTTTAAAATTTTCATTCTTGTCTTTCAACAGGCCAAATTTTTACGATGTTTGTTCATATGATGAGAGCCAGGAAGATTTTATTAATTGGCAAGCTTAAAGGTTACAGTATCCTTGCTATCGCAGAAGAATTGCCAGATGATGGCAAAATCTTTGCATGTGCAGAAGTGCCGTATCTCGGAGTGAACAGCCAAGAAGCATTTGATTATTCTTCAGATGGTAAAAAGATAAGCATGCAAGTGGGACCAATGGCAGACACTTTGGAGGTAAAAATCTGTTAAAAGGGGGGTTTGGGAGTTCTTCTGCAGAGCAGATTAATGAGTTTTGGGCAGGTCCTATTTCCTGCCCACAAAATTCTGGGTGGTGACCCTAGTTTGCTTGCAAATATATGAACACGCTTTTGCTCTGGAGTTATTTCTTATTCATGATGATGTATGATGGAACAGCTCTGTCACACAAGATAATTTTCTCCCTTCTTAGCTATAACACTGCAGCTTTTGATCAGAGGGATCACAAGCTCTAAATGTAGGTCGATAGGCTCCAGTAACAGAGTTTTACGCTACTTGGGTGGGCTTTGGTTCAGGATTTCCAGTTCCAAACATAACAAGCTGACAGAGTGTATTTGTGCCTGCTGGGCCTGCCCTGAGAAGTACAGCTTGCTCCCAGCATTCACAAGAATTGGGAATGACCTGAAAAAGTTGGTAATTCACCCACAACCTGACCCTGTCTCCCCAGCTGGAAACACTGCAGGCCATTGGACCCCAAGTTTCTTGCTTCCAGAGCAATGTGATAAACTTCACACACACAAATGCATTAGCTGTATATTTTTTTTTTCATTCTGACTAGTGATTTTGCCCCAAGATAGAGAAAAACTTATTATTGCCAGCAGCTAGAGGAGTTTCATGTTTAATTCCAGCTATGGATCTCCAGGATGTGGCTGCAGGTCCAGCATGCCAATATCAGGTCCATTAAATATCTAGCCTTTTTATTATTAATGCAAATCAATTTGATCTCATTCCATTTTCAATCTGGATGTGTCAGTGTGAGCCCAATTGTAACCTTATTTGCATTAACAGGTACCATATTTGTTTCTAAAATGAAATGGCCAGGAGCTTTCTGACCACTGGCTTTCATGACCTGCAAGTTTGATGTGAAAGAAACTAAGAGCTTTGCCAAGTATATGAATAAATGAAACGTTACAGATCACCTGCACTGTGCAGCATTTAAAATCCCAGCTCCCCACAGTGAGTGTAAAATTAATTGAATTGCTGTTGCTCTCTAGTGCCCATTCTGTGCAACTGACTTACTGTGACTGAATTAAAATATCTAGAGGCAGGCAGAGTGCATGCTGTGTCGAGATTAAAGAAGGGAGCAAAGAGACGAAAATTAAATCCTTAGAACAGAAATTTGCAATTGATTTTATATCCTCCGATTGCAACGTGAAGGCACATTCTGATCCCAGTTCTGCACGAACTCGGGACATTGAGTAACTCTTGGAGAAGATGGGAGCGGAGATGCTCATGTTCAGAAGGAGACATCCCAGTACTGGGGACACCTCTCTATGCTGTATTTCTGCGCTGTTGCTCAACCTGACAGAGATTTTGTCACTGGTATCAGGACAATCAGGATTGTCTTACAGGTTTTAATCCTCAATGGCTGTAAATAATGAAGCAACACATTTGTTGGCCTCTCTGGTGCTTTTGCATGTTATGGTCATTAAGGTTTGCCTAGCTGAAGTGGGACAGCTGAGTGGGAATACACTTGGATGCATGGAAGAGGCTCGGTCTGAGAACAGCATGCTGCCTTTTCCCTTCTGGAAAAGACCAGCTGAGGTTGGAGACCAAGCAGGCTCCCTCCACTGCCACATGGGCATGCTCAAGGTGGGAGCAGAAGGCAGTCACAGGTAGGAGATGGGCCAGGGATTCCTCCATGAAGCTGAGCTCTTACAACTCAGCTTCATGGAGGAGGTGGAGAACAACAGTGTTTCTGCCCCCTATTATCTGCAGGGAGGCTGGCCTACAGCAAAAATGGCTAATAGTTGTGGGAAAGCATGATGAGATTCAGGAGAGCAGGAACAAGCTCTGGCAAGGAATGTCTTTGTTGTCTATGGTGTCTGCAGCTCTAGGTTTCATTCCTGTCCCTCTAGATAAACTAGAGGGCAGAGATGGTTTCCCACCACTTGCTCTTTGGAGGTGTCTGCTCAGCTTTCTTGCTGTGGTGACTATGGCTGAATGATGTACTTTCCCTTCTGGTGTAAAACCAGTCCACCCAGGAGTTACATCACAGCCTTGGGTAGAGGGTGCCACCCCAGTGCTGCAGATGTGTCCAGCACCGTGTCCACATCTGCTGTCGATGCCCTTCTCAAGGAAAGCTGCCAGATGTGGTAGCAGTTGCCGCACGGATGAGATACATACACGCTATGCCAGCGTGCACATCGGTCCGTAGCAGCACCTTGACCAGGTTTTCTGACGCCTGTTGCTGCTCCTTTGCCTTATCACACCACACTGGCAGGGCTGGCCTGTCTATTGTCCCACGCTGGAGCCAGCTGCAAAGCATCTGGGATTTTGAGCTGTCAAAGGATGTTGAATACCAGACAGGAGCTTCAGAGCTCAGGTACACAGTGGGGTTCTTTTGAAACTGAGGGCACAATGCCAAAACCCAGCTTTCCCATGTGTGAAGGACAGACACTGCCAAGCTAGGTTAGGTGCCCACCAAAGCACATAGCTCACATGCACCATGGCACAAGGGTCTGTGCCCCCTGACCTCAGTCATTTTGACCTAACTATTTGCTGGGTGGAGTTGGGGGAACCCTTCCTTTGGTTCAGACTCTGATACTGGTGCTTTCAGTGGGAAATTACTATCTTATCTATGTGTGCTGGGCCAGCGTTTAAACACCTTTCCCAACAAGCTCCTTAAGTCTAAACTCTGTCATTTTGTGCCTCAATAATGCGCCTTGCCATGCCTCAGCTGTGAGTGAGAGGCCTGATCCTGAACAAAGAGCTTCCTTTTAATTCCCTGTAGACTTCTGGTTGAACAATGGATGCAGGATTGAATCCAGAGGGAATACAAACTACCAGCAAATTATTCCCATCCGTGATTTGGATCCTTCCATTTTAAAATTGAAAATGCAACAGAAAAAAATAACACCATGTTTGCAGCAGATTCTGCTGATTGCAGGGCATCGTATAAGCATGTTGGGGTTTTCTTTTTTCTTTTTTCCCTCCTTTTACCAGACAGAATAGGTGAAGAGGTTGAGCTGCAGATCTCATTTCTCCTGTTTTGCTGCTTGTGAAGTCTGCCAACAGAATCCACCTTGACAAAGTCAAGGACTCTGCGTTTAATGTTGAACTGAGTGAATAAATTATGCATGAAATTGTGTCGGAGTCTCTAGTGTGCAGAATTGCTCCTTTTGATATGAAAGGTTAATTCAGAAAGGAGTCCAAAATAGCTGGAAATTGTGGGGATAAGTGGATAGTATTCACTGTTGTGAGCTGTTATTACTAGAAATTGCATTCCCTCTCTAGCTTCCCTAGAGATTTAGCTTTGCCGGTGAATATAAACTGTACTCAATAGAATAGCATTTAGGAGTAACAAGAGTGTATGTCCACATACAGTAAAATATTCTAATGGGGCTTTAAAAAGAAGCTGTACTTTTTTGTGATTCGGTGTACCCTAAGGATGGATTGCTATTACATTTAGGTCAAGAACAAGGCATAGGGAAGGTAATAAGTTTTGAGTACACCTTTATTACAAATATGCTGACTGCATGATCCATATCAAAGGAACTGGACAGTCATTTTTTTTTCTGATGGAGTTTGCATGTGTCTTATGACTGAGTGTTGTCTCTTATCAGAACTCCAATTGGGTTTTCTCTCAGCTTTTGCAGAAGATTCATTCATGTTTTTGTTTGGGATGTCCTCTCCCTTATCTTTTGCTGTATCCGTCAACAGTGCTGTTGTGTCCTTTTCCGTGCTTGCTTTTGGTACATCTCCTCTGTGCAATGCAGTGCTACAAGATTATTAGTGGTTTTTTTAATCCCAAAGGAAGTTAGTGAGTCACTGTAAGCAAAAGCATTAATTTTTAGCCAAGTTTGCTCTGAATTAAGATGCTTCTTGTTGCCATCTGTTACTGTCTATGATGCCTCTGTAGCAAGGAGCAGGGATTGCACTGTAAACATTCAGGAAATTAG